TCTGATCTACTTTCTATAGTTCTAGTGAGGACGCAGGCAGCAGTATCTGATCTACTTTCTATAGTTCTAGTGAGGACGCAGGCAGCAGTATCTGATCTACTTTCTAGGCAGACCTGTGGAGGTTCTCCTGCAGGGATCAATTTTACTAAAGATGAAAGAAGCAGGAAGTAGTTTTTCAAAATTAGTCCTTTAATCCTGGAGATGTTCTTCAGGTGATGAAGGTCTGCTGTGTTCCTGTCTCTACAAGCCTGAAGGGTCAGGTCTGAGTCCATCACTAAACCTAGATTTAGAGCCTTTAGTTTGAAAGCATTTGTTCTAGATATGTAGAGCTTAGAACAAAGGTCTGCAACCTTCCAAATGCAAAGAGCTGTTCTGAATCCAGCCAGATGAAATAGGTCTGTAGCCGCAACTATTTCATGACCCTATAATAAAACACAACTTCTAATGTTAGTTAAATATCTGCTTTAGGAAGGGTTTTGCCCTTTGTTTATTTTTTAGGTTCTAAAATGAGGGGGAAAAGAGCAAATGCATGGATTTTCTTCTACATGATAAAATATTTTTTGAAAATTATGTAAATGAAAAAATAGTTTAAGGTCATGACATAAAAACAGATCTAAGAACAGATTATGGTTGTTTTAATGTCATTCTGTTAAGAAAATCAAACCCAGAGATTATTTGAACTGTAGGGCGAGTTAACGACCAGCAGGGGGAGCCTGTTCGCCCTTCAGCTCACATTCTTCTTCTTCTGCCTCTTCTTCTTCTGGCCAGGCGTTCAGAGTTGCTTGTTCCTCACGTCCTCGAACACCGCTGGCAGCAGATAAAAGACCTCGCTGAGCAGGTAAAACATTTCTAGCTGCTGTAATCTTCCGTCAGGCTGTACAGTCTGGGAACTCTAGATCTGAGCTGCTGCTCTGACTGTGTTGAAGTGACAGAGAAGAAGCTGCTCCTAAATGTCTCCATTCTGCTGTTTGAAACAATCCTCCACCTTCAACATGATGTCAGCTGCTTT